CATAAATAGTATGAGGTAATCATTTACTGATCTTGTTTTAGTTTTAAATTTGAGTGTGGAAGTAATGCCTGTTTCTTTGCAACATTTATTCTGAAGCTCCCTATAGTATATTGCATTGTACTAGCTATTGTAAAAACTAAAGTTAGGTCTTTAATGGGTCTGCTTCAGATCCCTTACTAAGGATTTTGTTTCAGTGCTTTTTGGGAAAAAAATTAAAACTTGCAAATTGGGTATAATATGAACATTAAAAGAAAGAGGAAAAAGTTCGTATCTATTAATAAAAATGCCAAGAATTTCTTCTCAGGTTCTTTTTTTAAAGTAACATTGTCACTCTTTAGAGATGTTTTCTCTATTTTTTTTTCTTGCCCATAATAATCTAGCATTTAAGAAATTGAAATACTCAGTTCCATATTGGAGACTGTGGAGAGGTAGAAGGATTTACCTTGGGGGAAACAATGATTTGGAATTAATAAAACCTTGACAGAGTCCCTCCAGCAAACAGTTTATTAAGTTCTTGTTACAGGTGCTAATTAGGTGGCTGTGATCACATCTCCAGACATAAAGGACTTTTAGATTTCAAAAAAATAGCATAATCAGCAACGCCTTTATATTTTTATTCTGTCTTTAATTCTTCTTTTTTCCCTTTTTTTTATAGTGATAGAGAGAAGATATTAATTTATTCCCATCCCAGGAATATATTTGCATACTTTTTCGTTGTAGGATGCAAATTCTTACCCAATTTGTTACATTCTGAATATTGCGGATTATAAATTGGCCATTTTCCAAAGGGGAAAATAAAGAACTTGTCAACTTTTTGTACAAAACTGTACAAAAAAGTTGAATTTGAATTGGAAAGTATTTTATTTTTTTTTTGCTTTCATTTTTCAATAATTAAGTATATTTTCTTAAAATTGATTGTTCAGCAAATCCAAATTAATATAACTATGTGTAGTATGTTAACCAGGTCTGGTAGCCTCAGAATCTTTTCTGTTAATTGAACGGGAGAAAGGAAGAGTGGATAAAAATCTACAAAAGCTTGTGTTAATTATGATACATCCCCTACTCCTAGAAAACCATGTTCAGATGTTATCACATTGTTAGCTCATGGGAGTATCAGTTTATGGAAAATCCTCTCATTCTTTTCAGTGGCTTTTATGAAATTGTTTTAAAAAGCCCTGTGAATGGACTGAGCCCTAGTATTTAGATAATTACCATTTTCTTAAGAAATAGACTTTGGGCCCACCAAGAAAGCAAATCATCTGATGTGACATTTTGCTGCAAGAGAACAGTATTACTTTATAATTTTTGCTACTTAGTGAAGGAAACATCACTTTACTTGGCTCCTTTTTTCTGGTATCATATAAAGAATGGGATGCTAATTGAATAGGTGACAGGATCTGGGAAACTAAAGAAACGCTGTGTAAGAATTATAAACCACTTTCATTCACTTGAATTTTTCTAAGCATAAATATAAGCACTTATTTTTATTCTCAGAAAGAAAAATAAACAATCATGTTTATGGGATAAAATTATCTATATTTAAGAATTTATGAATAGAATAATAAAAAACAAACAATTTAAAAGGACATAATTTTCAGGTAGAAAAATTTGAAAACTTTATTCACAGAGGAATGGGCACCCCTGCGTTCACTGCGGTAATCATGGTGGAGAGGACACAGAGACAGCCCAAGTGGGTTTCGATGGATGATTAGATAAAGACATGGTACATATATACAATGGAATATTACTCAACTATAACAAAAGATAAACTGCCATTTGCAACAACATGGATGAACCTAGAGAAAATTATGCTAAGCAAAATAAGTAATCAGAAAAAGCTAGGAGCCATGTGATTTCACTTATCTGTGGGATATAAAATGAAACTCATAGACACAGATCGGAGGGCAGGAGGGTGGGAGGGATAGTAAAGGGTAAAGGGGACCAAAGGTATGAGGACAGAAGATGATTTGACTTTGGGTGCTGCACATACAATATAACCTAGAGATGATATACCATAGAAATGTGGATGTGAAACCTGTGTAATCTTATTAGCCAATGTAACCCCAATACATTTCATTAAAAATAAATAAAAGGATATAATTTTAAGGTACTGTTTATATTTTATGTTGTATATGTGTGAACTATTTTTTGACAATCATGACAGCTACTCAGGTGTCTTCATGTTCTCTTGGTGTTCCTTGTTTTTACGGTATTAGATTAAAGGATGTTCCAAATGTAGGAATATTACCTATAGGTTGCATAGTTTAAGTAGCTTTATAAGTGAACTCTTGTATGCTACTTTTGTTCTCTGTGTGTGTTGGGGGAGGTTTTTCCTTTTTTTTTTGGTCTTGTTTCATTTTGTTTTAGGCCTATCAATAAAATGTAATTTTCAGAGATTTTCTTCCAGATTTATAATCAAATGTACTTTGTGATTATATAATTGGGGAAATCTTATAGCTGTATTATATTTATAGTTGTTTGCGTTAAGAATTCTGATTTGTCTTTGCATTTAAATCAGTTGGGGAATCATGCAGAAATACTTTAATTCATATCTATTTTTAGCACCCAAGCATGTAACACATTCAATATAGTTGTTTGCTTAAACAGTTCTTTACTTGATGTGTACAGTTCATTATGTTTGCTGCTGGGTCTTGGGCTTTATGTTTCATGACTTTTTAAGAAAAGGATAAATGGAGGGCAAGAAAGGAAAAGGAGAAACACTACGAATAACTCAGTTAATCGTGTGCTACATAAATGGGAAAGGAGACCGGAGACCAGGGGTCATATCATCAGAAGAATTACCAGACATCTCATCGAAATGTATTTTACTCTGTTGATTAAAAATTGCAGTGTATCAGTCAATCATGTAACTTAAAATTTTAAAATATGAACTCAAATGAAAGAGTAAGCATCCTTAAAAGAGAATAAATTGTGCTTTCATGTGGACTGTAAAGCACAGCCACTTGTGTTTTTTTAGTTCTTCCCTGGATGTATTATAAGAACTGTCAAAGCAGTGAAAGCACAAAGAAGAGTAGAAGTCAGTTAAATGTTTGATTCAGTATGTTTTAATACACATGAAGGTGAAAGTCTACATCCTGCCTGTCAGCCATAGTTTGTAGCCACAGTGCTCATGGAAGTTTGACGTCTAACTATTTGGTGACTGGGACATGGTGAATGTCCTCAAGTGTAGGTTTTTAGTATTTTGTGGAAATTGCTCACCTTCCCGTTAGTGACAGGCTTACTGAAGCCTGGATTTTCAGCTCTGCACTGTGTCTCAGTCCAATGATGTTACTCTGTCAAAGCTGAAGTACAGCTCCCCTTGCTTGCTTCCAGGGGTTGATAGCATCTGGGGTCTTCTGAGCCATCATGATTAAGCTTGGCAAACAGTTTTCTATTTCAGCAAAACTGGAAATTGGAAATATTTTTTCAGATAATATTTATCTAGCATCTCAGTATGTATGTATCAGATAATGTTCCATATTCTGGTGACACTATACCTACCTACTAGATTGTATATCTACCATATAACCATACAAAGGTAGCATGATAAATTCTATGAGAACGTAAGCTCAGAGTATACTGGAAGTGCAGAGTGGGGCCGTCTGTTCCAGATTTGTCAGAGGAAGGAAAGAAAGCAGGGATCGGGGAAGCCTTCCACAAGGGGTGACTCCAGAGGTAACAGATATCTAGTCCTAGAAATATGGGATCCGTGTTAGAGTGATAGAGAGTGCAAGGCAGACAGCTGTGGAGTACAGCTGTGTCTGAGGGAGAACCGAGAATTCTCTTCCTCTGCTCGTCCTTCTCTTGTTTTTACCATTCTCTTTTTCCCTCCCTCCCTTCTTCCTTATCTCACTTCATCCTTCTCTTCCTCCCTCCCTCCAGGCCCTTTTCTCTCTCTGCCTCCTTTCTTCTTTCCTCCTTCCTTCCTAACCAACTGCATATGGACAGAAGTTTATTAATTAAATGCATGGTTCGTGGGCTAATATTATCATTGGACAGTTCCCGGCCCTAATGCACTTATTTGTTCACCCATTTATGATGCTGTAGTTAATACCTGTGTAATATTAACAATTACTTACACCTATATTTTTACTTTTTTATATAATCCCCTCACTCCTCCTAAAAGATAGCTATGATCCTGAGTTGTGTGTATAATTCCTTTTTTTCATTGTTTTTTCATATATAACATACCTAAACAATACATTGCTCAGTTGTTGTTTTTTTAACTCAACAACAACAAAAAATACTCTTCTATATGTAATCTGGTCAGTATTTTTTTCTACTCAACATCATACTAATATGATTCACTATGTTGGTATTTGTAACTGAATTTATAATTAATTTTCCATTGTGGATATACCACAATTGTGCAGTCTCCTGTCGATGGGTAGTGGAGTTGTTTATATTGTGTGGTCATGAACTGTGCTGCTGTGACCCTGTCCTCTGCTGCCCAAGACATATGGGGAGTTTTCTTCAGAGTATTTATCCAGGGATGGAAATATTGGCTTATAGGGCATGCAAAGGTTAGACTTAAAAGATCATGCCAAATTGCCTTCACCCCTACCAAAAGTATAGAAAGCTTACATTGGTCTTGTGAGATTGATTTCTGTCAACTGCTTGCCATGGCACATGAATCCCATCTAGTGGTGTGTGATTTTGGTTTGCATTTCCCAGGTTACCAATGAGATTGTGCATCTCTTGGTATATTTATTGTTCAGATGTGTTTCTTCTAATCTTTCAATTATAAGACTTTATTAGTCTATACTAGTAAATCCTTGTTATTTTTACATTTGAGTTGTGGTGATATACTAATCATTATAAGATATACAGCCATTGAAATGAACTAAATATATTTTAGTAGTATACAAAATGGTGGGTAATGTCTAATGAAGGATACACAGTCAAATAGTTATCAAGTTTGAAAGAATAGGAATGAATTCTATTTTGAAATTATTTTCATGACTGTCTTTACAGCTTAATGTTTATTTTTCTTTTGACAGAACGATTTCGGGAATTACTACTTCCTTCATCTAGTCAAGACTCTGAGATTCTGCCCTTTGTTCAGACTAGAAAATACCCCAAGTAAGCAATAGAAGTTCACTGGGTATTGAAAAGGGAATGGGAAAGTAAGTAATGGGAAAGGTTTGGGAGAACAAAGACAAAACATTTTCTTTCTTAAGATTTCTGTAGAAAAGCCAGGATAACATAACTTAATTAGCTTGGGAATCTCCTGCAATGTAATGTCTCAGGCTCTGCACAGCTGGGCCAGAGGAAAAAAGACTTGCCTGCAAGTGCAACCAGCTATGGCTGGGAACTGTTGCAAAGCACAGACCCTGTCTGTCTGTTCTTTTTGCTTGATACTGTATCAGCCGGGATAGATACTTTTTGAGTGATCCCTTGTCTGGTTTCCTGTTTCTATTCTTTAAATGCAAGGATTCATTCACAGCATAATAAGTAGCTTTCAAATCACCCATGCCAGATATGATTTTAGCAATTTCTGTATAGTCCCCTTTACTGTCTTTGTACTCTTTATGAAAAGTGGTATCTCCTCTCTTCAATGCCACAAATGTACTTATTGGTTGAAGGAATATGCCTTCATCTTTCTAGAGAATAAAGAATTACCACTTTTTTTTTTTTTGAGCATCCTCTTTCTAAAGGCTGCTGAAGGTTGGTATCTTGATCCTTCCTGTGGAAACTTGGAGCATCCTCTACTCTATGAATGTCTGACTCTCTTTTCTAGCTAGTGTGCAACAGGCTAAAGAATTAATGAACTAATAAATAAAAAAGAAAGTTCACCAAGTTAAAGAATTAAAGCTTGGTTTAACATTTTTTATCAAAACTAATTACAATGTTAAATGATTCATTCTTTGATTGGTTTAGCAGTTTGTTCAAGTATTTCTGGTATAATCCTCCCCCCCCCCAATAGTTAGCTTTAATAATATTTACTTAACTCTCTTGCCTTGGCTGGTGTGGCTCAGTGGGTTAGAGCATTGTCCCTTAACCAAAAGGTTGTGGGTTCAATTCTGGCCATGTCACCTACCTAGGTTGCCAATTTGATCCCCATTCCAGGCTCGCATGATCCCCAGTCTGGGCACGTACGGATGGCACCAGTCAATGCTTCTGTCTTCCATCAAAGTTTTTTTTTTCTCTTCCTTCCCCTCTAAAAGGAATTTTTTTTTAAATGTCCATGGGTGAGAATTTTTCAAAATTTTAAAAATAATATTTACTTAACTCCCAAAACAAAAATAAATATTGAATCCAAATGATCTGTTCACTGTTTTAAATATTAATCCCAATTTAATCTAGCAGTATTCTTCCAGTGCCTCACAACACACATGGGGACACCTATGTGCTGGACAGCCTGGCATGCATACATTATTCTCGCATGTATATATTGACCGGGAGGATAGAGGTGCCTCGAGTGACTGATGCATGTCTCTCAGTATTTCTTTTCCCACAGCTGCTATTTGCACAAGCCATTGATGCCTGCTTTTCTGCCTCTTAGGCTCCTGTCTACCTGATACCTTTGCTTAAAGAGGGGAATCACAGCTGATAAACTGTTCACAGCTATTTCCCTGGGTTTTCTTTGCTACGTGGTCTTACATGTATTCTTCGTGTTCTTAGATTACTTTTCTGATAGTGATATGATCCATTCTAATATTTAAGTGAGACACCACGTGATAATCTTTTGTCAGTGTCTGACCCTTGGGGTAACTACTCCTTTCGGTATCTGTGGATTTAAAGAGTAAATAGCATCCGTTACTGCCACACACACACCATATGAGGATGGTTAAGAGTGTGGACTCTGGAGCAGGTTGCCTCACCGGCTGCTGTTTGGCAAGGGACACCTAACTTTCTGTTTCTGAGTCCCACTGGTGTGCAAGGAGGAGGTAATAATACTCACACTCGGGGTGTTATAAATATTAAATGAAGTAAACAAAAAATATTCAGACCTCAGCTTAGCTAAGACTTCATTCTAACTGAAGTTTTATCATTACTCATCTAAAATTACATATGGAATTAACTAATTCCCCTAATTCCAGAATGTCAGGGGAATAGATTACTGATCAATCTTGGAGGATAGCTCTTATATCAGTAAAGCTTTTCTCAGCCTGCCCTCATTAGTACTTAAGGAAGTATATTTATTCACTATTTCTAAACTGTTGCTAGATGCCAATGTGACGTGCTGCTTTGCTGACCGCCTAACATTTTTATGAGGTTTAGTTTTCTAAACTATCAAACGAAAGTATGCTAATTAAAAGCTTCTGGGTCCGAATTATATTCCTGTAAAAACTCTGAATTAAATATAATTTGCCCATTTAAGTGACAGAATGTTGAGTCTTTGCATCTTCCCCTTGCCTATTTAATGTCTGGTTTGGCAGTAGCATTTTAGCAGGTGTTGGTGGAGGTGGGGTACTGCTCATAGACTTCCATTTGTGCTGTGCCTGAGGAGTGTTGACTGGCCCAGGGAAGGGCCTGGGAGTTAAATCTGAACGTACACATGCCTGTGTGGAAGTTGTTGGGGGAGGAGAAGAGAGAATTGTGGGAGGGCCAGTTACTAAGTATGCATATGCTGGGATTTATGTATGTCTAGACCCAATTTAAACCAATTTTGGATTAGTTAGTGTTTTAAATATTCTTCTTTATTTTCTCCTTTATGTGCACTCTCAAATATATTCTCATTTGTTCATTATTGAAGATAACTAAAAGCCAAGAATTTAAAATTTTGTGACACAAACATTTCTGGAAAGCGGAAAATTAATCAAACCATTGTAATTTGGTGCTTTTATTTCCAACACAGTATACTTATTTATACTGAGGCGTTTTCCCTCACTTTAACGGTTGTTTTCCTGACTCACTGAATATAGACTGTATTAGTGAGAGATGTTTTAAGAGCTAAAACATGGATCAGACGCAACTCATTTGCCCTACGTTATGTAGTGTCACTGAGTGATATTCCCTGAGCATAATGTAGCCGACCTTTAAGGGAGATTCACTCTACACTGGTTAATGTAGGCTGATTAATGAACAGTGGTAAGTTGGACTGGGGGTGGGCTCTCCAGTCCACATACCATCTTTACGATCTTAAGTATCTTGTTGTCAAGAGATACCTAATAGTAGTGACACGTGAGAAAAGGTAAAAGGTATTCTTTATTTAAAAAAGGAGAGATTCTTCAAGCACTGACTACTTCTTGAAATGTGTGTGTGCATATGCACACATGTGCATTTTAAGGGAAAGCCACTTTTAAAAATGCTGTTTGCCATGTGCTGGGAAACACTGTTCTAAAACATAATGTCGTTCACTGATTACTTTCTTACATCTGTGAACTTGCACTTAACCCATTGCAAAAACCAGGCGCATCCATTCTAATCAGAATGCAATCGAAGACATTGTGCCATGCAAATTCTCAGAGCATGAATAGGTGTGACTATTCATGAGAGACAGAAAGAGGCAGATGTGTACAAAGAAGAAAGTAAATGTATACTTAATACAAAGTAAATGTTGATTCATAAACCAGAGGGAAGAAATAGAGATAATGAAAGTTTTGTTGTTGATTCCTTGTCAAGGGTGTCAAACTCATTTTCACCGGGGGCCGCATCAGCCTCCAGGTTGCCTCCAGATTGCCGAATGTAATTTTAGGACTGTATAAATGTAACTACTCCTTAACTAGGGGCAAGGAGCTCATCAGTGCCGCCAGGTAGAAACAAATTGATGGGCTGGATAAAACAAGGTGGTGGGCCAGATTCAGCCCACAGGCCTTGTGTTTGCCACCCATTCCTTGGTTGGTGTCATTGTTAGTAACTTTGAAGAATTTAGGGCTAAAATGGATTTAGACTAGAGGGTGGCTATAAATAATGCTATCCTTGTAGGTACAGCTTGGAGATGTAAAATGATTTAAGACATTTGGCATAATTTTACTCACAAATAACTTGAGACCATTTTTGCAATTAGGCCAGCAAAACATGATGGAATAATCACTCTGGAAAGTTTAACCACAATGTGTATAAAAATATTGTGAAAATACAAGAATAAAATGCTCATATATCTGTTTGGTTTTCATAAAGATCAAGTTGTCTGTATGCTTAATGACAGAACTGGTTAGAGAAGGGAATATTATTTAAGACAAATTCAGAACTGTTCTTGTTTGGCTTGGTTTGGTACCAGACCTGGATCATTCAGGCAATAAAGCAGTGTCTCAACTCAATCTCATTTCCAACAGTCTGCTTAAAATAGGCTTCAAACAGTGATATTGGGCAATATACTTATACTGCAAAGCCTCAGATAACCTTCCAGATGTCATTTACTCTCCAGCTTATCTTTTTTTCCATTCTCAGTGCGAATTTTGAGTTCCTCTTTTTCTAAATAACCACCTCTCTTCAATAATTTTTGTTCAGTCTGCATGTCTACAATATATTGGAGCTAAATTATTTCCACTTATAATAAAAAATAATAACACTTAAAGAATGCTTTTACATGCCAGGAATTCAGTTAAGTCCTTTATATGCATTATTTCATTTAGTCTTCACCATCTCCCTAGGAGGTAGGTAGTACTATTGCTCAAATTCTCAAATTTTTCAGATTAGGGAGCTGGAATAGAAGGGGTTTAAGTGCCTTACCTAAAATCACAGGGAAGAACTGGGTCTCATAATGAGGTCTCTTTGGCCCTGGAAGTGTACTTCATTGTCTGTACTGCCTCTCATTCATTTATTCATTTATTCTTTGAATATTTACTGAATAATTACGGTGCACCAGAATCAATTAGGATTACTGAGAATATAAAAATGATTAGGGCATATTGTATGGTTTGAGGGGTCTAAAGTCAAGTGGGAGAAAAGCAGAATCCAAATTAAATGAAGAAATCAATTATAGCAGTGTGATAAGATGGACACAGTAGAAATTCTTAAGAAATGCATTAAAATCAATGGGAGGAAAGAATAGTACCTTCCTGTGTGGCTTATTTATATAAAGTTGAATTTTCCCTTGAGTAAAATCTTGGCAAGTGCTATGTATGACACCAGAGGAAGACACTGTGTAGATGGAACAAAAGATATAACAGCCTAAGGAACCATGGAAGCGGGTG